AAATAAATAAATAAATAATTTAAAAAAAAAGATACTAGAGGGACAATATCAAGACTCTTTAAAAAAAATTTTTTTTTTTTGAGATAAGAGTCTTGCTATATTCTAGGACAGGCTTGAACGTTTGAGTCTCCTGCCTCACCCTTGCAGGGTGCTGGGATTACAAGTGTTAGCCACCATGCTATTTACTTAAAGAAAAACAACAATTCTTGGTGGGAATGTGTCTATTACTTCCTAGTTAAACAGGATGGCAGCTTTTAGATTCAAAACGAATGTTAATGTATCTATTTCAAGATTGATCTCAAATTGGAAAGACTTTTTTTAAAAAAAAATCAAGAATGGGGCTGGTGAGATGGCTCAGTGGTCTAAAGCACCTACTTAGAACAAGTTTAGCAAAGCACAGGGATCACGGTTCAATCCCCCAGCACCACATGCCAGCCAGCCCCGCACCCTGGTGGGCTGAGCTGGCCACACACACACAAATAAATAAAAATTAAAAAAAAAAAAAAAATCAAGGATGAAAATGAACTTATTACTTTACAATGATTTTACTTAAGTTATCTTAAATGTTTTTGGAGTCCGTTAAGAAAAGAAAACTTACACTAGATTGTCTTCATTAAAGTCTGGCTGAAAATTCTCCAGAGGAAACAAAGACTTAAAGTCAATTCCCATATTGAAGAACACAGCTGCTACGTCAGACAGTGATGGGATCCAGGGCCAAACTGGTGAGTCGCTGAAAGTATCTGGTCAACAGAGAGAACTATTAACTCCACAGCACCTGCCCACACCCCACACTGGCAAGACGACAATCACACGTGAGGCAGAGCTTACAATTACTTATAGAAATGACATGCTAAGGTCATGTTAAGGCTGCAATGTTACCTCAGCTCATGAACTCAGTTCTTCCCGTGACTGGTGACAAGCTGAACTGGACAAGAGCAGCATCACATTTCCCTGTACTGCAACGCTGAACCTAACTAGTGAATCTGAGGTCCTACTGTAGTTAAATTACAGAATCATAGGGACTGTGGATGTTCAGGTAATTGAATGAAATGACATTTGTGAAGACTGAGAGGGATAGCATGTAACTCAGAAAGTAGTGCTTAGAAATAAGTAGCAGGAGGGCCAGGGAGATGGCTCAGTGGAATAAGTGCTTCCCTGGCAAGCGCAAGGAACTGAGTTCAATCCCCAGTTCCGCCAAAAAAAAAAAAAGAAATAAGTAGGAAGGACTAAATCTCAGTGACAACACAGAAAGATAATATGAAGTACCTTTAGTCTTAATTTGCCAAACAAATCATCAGTTACGATAATGCTTCTATCATTATATCATGATTTACTACAGGGGATTGAATATAGCACCTTCACACTGAACTATACGTACAGTCCTTTTCGAAAATGTTTTTTGAGACAGTGTCTTACTTACCAAGTCACTAAATTGCCTAGGCTGGGTTTGAAGTTATAATCTTCCTGCTTCAGCCTCTCATAATGCTGGGATTATGGGTGTGGGCCACCATGCCCAGGTGTTTTTTTTTTTTTTGATATTTTTAGGGAAGGGTCTACGGGGGTGTTCGAGGTCTCACTACTAGATTGGATATAGTGATCCCCATTTTCAGCCTCCCAAGAACTAGGATTACAGGTGAGCACCACCACACCCAGTCTCAAGTAGTGATCTGCCTGTTTTTCAGGCTCCCAAGAACTGGGATTATAGGTGTGTGTTACCATACCCAGTCTCAATTGCCTGTTTCAGTGGGCCCCAGGGGCAGGGCTGGGAGGCCCAGGGATGGAACCCCTGGCCCATCCACTGAGCTATTGGTTGGCCCTCCAGGTGCTTCTTTTACTGTAAAGGTGCTCCAAGGTGAGAAAGCGGTTACCCTGGCTGTCCTTACTATAGCCTCCCGCCCGCCTGTGTCCTGGGGTGCTCCAGCACCCCGCTGCTCCCTCCCTTATTCAGCCCAGGGTCGCTCTGCAGAGCCAGCTTCTCTCTCTCCTTTCACCTTTAACACACTGCTATATCTTAAATTTTATTTATTTATTTATTTGAGAGAGAGAGAGAGAGAGAGAGAGAGAGAGAGAGAGAG